CAATAAAGATTTATACTTCTTCTCAGCATCTTCTGGAGTCATTGCTACCATTGCATTTGGGTTAAGAAATTGAGAATTGCATACAATGATAGATCCTAGTGGAGTTCACTCCATGAACTTTTCAATCAATCGAACGTACATGTTAGTGCAATCTTTGTGAAAACTTTGAATATCAGCAATGGTTATTATATCTTTCTTTCGTAAAGCAGCCAGTCTTGTTTCAGCTGCAAACTCTAGTTTGATCTGATTTCCTTTAAGTAGATTATCTTTTTTATGATAACAAACTTCTTTTAGTTGGACTGAAATACAACTGTTATCAATAACATCTTGTTTCACAAACAAGCTCAGTATGGTTTGTAACAATCTTTCTAAGTCACTATACATGAATAGAAACATTGGTTTGTCAGTTTGGTATGCCAACAAATATGGCTCTAATATGCTTGCAACAAAGCTGAAAACTTCAAATTTTAAAATAATAAGTTTGTCTTTAACAGCCTTTTTTACATTTAAAAAGCTTTTTGATTTAGGTTGTTTCAAAGATGGTAACTTTTCCCAAAACTCGATCAACTTACATATACTAGCTCAGATTTTAATGCAACGATCTGCAATAGATTTCCTTTCAACCCACCTTGTTGCGCAAAAAAAAAAAGGTATTTTGTTGCACCTGTGACTGTTTCATAATCTTGACGTCTAGCTGGGCTATCATAAAGAATTTGCCAACACCCTTTTTAAAGTTTCTTTAATATTCCATGTTTATGATTCGATAGCTGTTTTGAAAGCAACATGGATTACATGCAAAGAGCAACTTCCAATATTTATAAATTGTGGCATCTCGTTGTCCTTTCTGTGTTTATTTAGATCATCTAGAAGTTTCAGATTTGTAGAGGGTCCATCCATGAAAACTTGATACATTTTACTTGAATCAAATCTTGATAAGTTTCGTTGAAATGTGTAAGAAGGTTAGAAGCTGCAGAATGACTAAGAAATTCTGATGTCCAATATCTCACTTTAACTTTATCATTGTCATCCCAATACCGAACAAGTAGATCCATCTGACAAGTTTGGGTTTTGTCGTTCAAACTCTCATCAAAAGATACAATGTAACAATCAGACTTTGTGATGACTTTTTTTAAAAGTGTCTTGAAGTAAGGGGCTAGTCCATGGTTAACAATTTGCTACCTTGCTATCAGAAAACATCTTTAAAAGTGTAGTTTAAATTTGCACATGAGTTATTAGAGTAGCAGCTCATTGTAGATTTCAGGGCCCATATGATCTCAGCGTTAGTTGATTACAATGATTTAATTAAAGAGACAATAGTTGCTTGTTTTTTAGTGGAAAATGTGGATATTTTTTCTTCACTTCCAAGAGGTTCAGCATACAACTCTTTTCCATTAATAAAGAAACAACAGGCTTTGTAGCAGGCTGATGCTTCTTACCTTAAACAAGATAAATAAATGATTAAAGTTTTAAAAATGTCTAACATTTTTCATCTTTTTTCTTAATCTGTTTAGCTTGCAAAGTTTGAAATAACAATATAAGCAACCAATCAACAAGGAAAACAACTGTAACAGGTTGCAATCAAAAGTTGATTACAATGTGTTTAAAACTGATATTAAAATACAAAATAATGAATCAATCAAGCAATATTTCTTTTTAGTTCTCACTCTCACATTAAAAAAGTGTAATGTAAATGTAAATACCTGCTGCATGACTTTTAACCGCCTGAATACCCATATTGGATAATTCAAATGATTTTTTACATTTTTTGCAATGAGCTTTCAATAACAATAAACACTCAAAATGTGTATTTTGCAAAATAACTTCAAGCTAAATATAAAACTGAAAAATATTCCCAGAGTTTTCCCTGATTTTACAGATTTTTAACAAATATTCCTTGACTTTTCCAGGTATTCCCTGATTTTCTAAATTTTAAAAACTTTTCCCTGGTTTTCGAGGTTTTCCCTGAGTGCCATGAACCCTGTAATATAATTTAAAATAGATTTAGAACATCCAGTGTCCAATAATGCTTTTATCCTGTTCACAAACACACAAAGTACTGGCTGTTTTGAGTTTTGTGGAAAGCTGCTAGCTCAAAAACGGGTGGCCTCATTCAGACATTTTTTGGATTTGTAAATTTTTTGGAGCAGTACTGAGCTAGGTGGTCGTCCACTCAACACACTAAATATAACTGTTTTTTCTCAATTTCGTTGCTTGGACTCATATGACCATCATCACTGCAACTTAGCACGTAATGATTTTATAGTTGTGTTCTTAAGGATTCACCACCAATCTGGAATCATGATTTAAGCAACAACAAAAAAAAAACTTCTTGTCTTTTCAGCAATCTGGGACAGCAACATACTTGACAGTTAGCATGCAACCTGCAGTTGTTTTTGCGCTTTGTTGGGCAATCCCAGAATGAATGCATGAATGAATAAAATGTATTTGCTGTTTTTTGTTGTTCACACACTAAATATTTCCACTGAACATATATATATATATATATATATATATATATATATATATATATATATATATATATATATATATATATATATATATATATATATATATATATATATATATACACACACAATTTTGAACACCCAAAAACATAATTAGTAATAGAATACAATATATTATATACAAATACAATATAATAACTATATACAAGACATTGACAGACTCGTTTTCTCATAGACAACTTACAAACTGTTAGCAGAGAAGCAGAGAAAACAATTGTCAGCAGCAAATGCTCTGCCAGACAGAATAAGGGTAGTATCACATATAAATCACCAACTTTTTGAAGTTTTGCTATGAGTTCTAATTTCTGGATCCACTCAGAAAATTCACCAGAACCATTCAATGGAGTACTATGGAGTACAATGATTGTAGTGTGACACAAAGTCTGCAAACTATATCACTATACTCATAGTTGAAAATAGCTAGTAATAATAAGTATTTTTGATAAAATAAAATAAAATATGGAATAAAAGCCTCATAGGTTTAAACAATAGATAATTATGAAAAAAGCAACAATTGTTTATGGAACACTATATAATAATAGCCACTCAAATTTAAAATCAATCAGATTTTAAATTCTTAAACCTAAGCATTACATGGTTAAATATGAGAAATATTTTTTATATAGGCGAGCTTATTTTAAGTGTATATGCTTTTAATGAACGCTGCATCTATCATGTGATAAAATCAATTATTTCATAGAAACCAAACAACTAAATTTTAAAGAGTAAAGCTAAGTTAGTTTTATTGCTGGTTGTCGCAACTAACTAACTAAGTTAGTTTTATTGCTGGTTATCGCACTCGATAATTGACCACGGAAATAATATTAAGTTGCAAAAAACCGACCAGATTTTTTTGTTGTTTTGAGAACATTTCAAAAGCAAACAAAAAAGCGCAATAAGATTAACTGGACCGATGAGAGACAGTTAAAAAAAGAAAAATAGCTTTTAACGCAAAAAAACTTTTAAAGCAAAATAAATACGATTAGAGCATATATTTTTGAAACGTCGCTCTTTTATAATTTTTTTTATAAAATTAAGTGACATTTTTTTATATAAAGTAAAAACTTACTAATAATGATTGTTTAATAAGGAAACAAATGTTCTCCGATTTATCAAAGAGTATATATAATTTTTATTTATATACTTGTCTTATTTCAAGTGCTGGATTGAGGAGGGGGGGGAGTAGAAGGGCTATAACACATTTGAAACAATTTTTCTTAGGGTTTTAACATATTTGAAACAATTTTTTTAGTATACTAAGAAAACTTGTTTCAAATGTGTTAAATATCTTAAAAGATGAACAAATGAAATAATTAAATCATTGAGTTTTTGTAGAAATTCAATTAGCTAAATAGAAATTAACTAAAAACGTTAAATTACTATGTGAGGAGGAAGCGGAACTGCTTCACAATAATGCTGATGATGTTTAGTTAGTGGGCTTTATAATTTTAATTAGTATTTAAAACAGAAAAAATTAACTTTAAATTTAAGTATAACGAGTTTGTAAGAATGGCTGAAGCAAAAATAATAAAAGTTAGTAAACTAAAAACATTTATTTTTGTAAACAAATAATGTTAGTTTAAAACATTTATAGCTTTGAAGATGTGGCTCCGAGAATTAAAATAATAGTTTGTTTGATAGTATATTCTTAAAACAATTTATGCTAGAAATCTCAATGAAATCATAACAAAACTCAAATAATACAATTTTTAAAAATATTTCAACAGAATACTCTAAAAATTCCGGTTAGTATTTTTTCAACCAATAGAATTAATTGTTCGTCGATTTGGCGGGTTTTTTGTATTTTTTTTATTTTTCCTCACAAAGATGTTTGAGAACATTCGAGTTTATGTATGTTTCCATGTATGTCCGTGAAAAAAATATTTCAAAAATTACGATAAAATAATGAACTTAATTAAGGAAACATACATAAATTTAAATGTTCTCAAAAAGACTAAAATATCTGGCCAGTTTTTCACAACTAAATATTATTTCCGTGGTCAGTTATCGAGTGCGATTGCACCCGCTTCTCGACCAAGCCTGGTCGCTGTATTTCCAATACCTGAACAAATGTAACTGATAAAACTAACATTGTCTATATAAAAAAGTTGCTTGCTAGATTATATTTGTTAATATTTTATTATAACTACTTTTATATTTTTTAATATTTCATTAATTTACTTTGTATTAGAAAAAAGATGAGTTTTACTTCTGCAGCTGAATATTTTGATTAATTGGATATTTGGATAAAAAATTTAATTTTTAAACTGAATTTATTATATTTGAAAATAATAAGCATATTTTATGTATTTGTAATTTAAACTTTTGTCACAACAGTGTGTGCTTTTAAAATGTTAGCTGCTTCATTAAAATACAATTAAAATAAAAGGTAGTTTTTATTTAATTAAATTTATATCATTCAAGTAAATTAAAATAGCAGTAAAAAAAATTACTAGTAATCTTATCTAGAATTACCATTTTGGATGTCATCATTTGCAAAAATTCATTGAAATCTATAGTTCCTGTACCATCTTTATCAATATCAGATATCATCTTTTTTATTTCATCTTTTTTTGGTTCAAATCCAAGTGCTCTCATTGCTACCTAAAAAATACTATTATTTTATTTATTCCTTTTTTCTATTCCTAAAGTACTGCTTCTAAATATTACCATATTTAGTGCTGACCGTATTTATATTATTTTTTATAACATTAATAACATATATTCAACTCCTTTTAACATAACTCATATTTGCCTAATATAAATACCTTTAACTCTTTGGCATCAATTTTTCCTGATCCTTCTGTATCAAATAAATCAAAAGCTTCTCGGATTTCTTGTTTTTGCTCTTCAGTTAATTCTGGCTTCAGGCCTATGCAATTATTACTTGATTTTAATTCACAAAACTTTAAGTAATACCCAAACAAAAATAACCCCCCCCCCCCCAAAAAAAAAAAAAAAAAAAAAAAAACTCATTACAGAACTGTGAAATAATATGGTTGTTTTACATAACTGTGAAATAGTTGTTTTAAATAACTGTGAAACATAAGATAACTGTGAAATAATATGGTTGAAATAGAATCAAAAGTTAATAACTCCATTGATTTTTTTTTATCTTTAACTGAACAACTTGACTAAATTTAATAATGCTTTAACAACTAGATAAAGTTTGAAAGAAATTCAACACTATTTTGTTGACCTCAATATCAATATTCAATATCTTATATTCATAAGATATTCAATATCTTTTATTCATAAAGTTTGTGAATGATTGTGCAATATGCACAATAATGCACAAACTTTATGAATAAAAGTTGGCAAAACTACATTACTATGCACTTAACATCTAAATTGTGGTTGTCCAAACTTAAGTATCAAATAATGACTGTCATAAGAATCTCGTATAACTCACATTATTTTATTTATTGTTTGTAATATTCCACACATCGTTTATAATAAAAATAAATAATAATAATAGATTAATTTTTTAAATTAGTTTGTGTTCATAGTATAGGTTTTTTATTAACTATTATTTATTTTAACTCAAATTTAAAACGATTCTGTTGTATAGAATGTTCGCAATCAAGGACATTCCAAAAGGAAACAAAGTAATGATGTCAACATTTATTAAATGGAAAGTTGAAGAGGCTTTAGAACTGAAATTACCAACGGAACTACATACGTTATTGAAATTAACTGCAAAGTTTGTACAAGAAATAAAAAAGCGGTATTACAAGGTTGTAAAGGTTTGATACGACAATGTGCTTTACGGTTTATCGATGGGACAAACTTTGTGTCGATCCACACAATTCAAAGACATTTTGAAACAGCTTATCACCTTACTGGAATAAGGTATGAGAGCGAGAAACCCTCAAATGAGCAATGTGTTAGGTCAAACGCTGGAATACAAAATACAAAATCCTCAAAGGTAGTTAATAAATTATTATCTTTTAAATAAAGATTTTTTATTCTTATTTACCAGATTCTAAGTGCTAAAGCGTCGTTTGTGGCAGGCTTGATCAGGAAGTCGTGTGATCGTACACCTTTAAAATACTTTGTTTCGATGATTTGGCCATCAAGCATTTACACATTTGCAAATCCTTGATGATGTTTATGTTAATGTTAAATGTTGATATTTAATTATTTCTAAAATGCGTTGAAAAAATTAAACTAAACTTAGAAAAAGTAAAAAAAAATAATACCCTAAAAAATACTTGTCAACAAAAGAAAAAAATTAAACCTAAAAAAACTTGATTAAACTAAAAGAAACTTTTTTTGAACAACGTTCTTTTTTTTTCAAAATTCTTTTTTTAATGATGCAGATGAAGCTAGCATTTATAACTTACGACACTTACGTTGCATTAATTAAAGTTCGTTAACTTTTTTTTATTATTCATTCAACTGTAACATTAAAAAAGTCAAAAACGATTACTTAACATTAGTTAAAAAAGCTCGAACATTTTTTCCTTTAAAAAAACTAAATGAAATCGATGTTTATAAAATATATTATAGAAAAAGTTTATTATGATTCATTATTATATATATTATGTTTAACTATGATTCAATTAAGATTGATACTGCATAAAGTAAAAGTTTAAGGAAACTGTATTTTTGTAATTGTAATATTCTTTTGTTTCTTAGATACAAGCGTCAATATCGTCTTCGTTAAAAGTTTTAACGGATGACGTGTATATAAGACTTGTGAACTGTGCCTATGAAATGTCCCTTCTGCCAACTATGCCGCACAAAAACTTTGCTGTTATTGTAAGTATCGATATGTTGACAATTTTAAATATTTTAATATAAAGTATTGAATTGTTGGTTCAAATAAAAATAGTTGGTTCGTATGTTTCCAACTTTGTAAATTTTACTAATTTATTGTAAATTTAACTTTAAATCGAAAAATATAATACATCATTTACAATAAATGTTTAGGTAAAGAGCTGTAAGATCAATGGTGTTAAAATGATCAAACGCAACGAAAATGGCGCTAGCAGGCGTGAATTCGTAAAATGCATTGTGATGACTAATTGTGAAAAATGTCCCAATATCCTGAAGGAAGCTCAATTCTTTTCAATTTTGTGCGATGCTAGCCAAGCTTGAAAAACAAAGTAAGAAAAAGAGTTAGTTTTGGCAAGAATTGAAAGAAATAGTTGGCATTGATAGGTTTGGCGGAGGAGAAGCAGACTCCATTGTCAAGGGAATCAATAACATTTTTGAAACCGGGGAATTTAAACTAGACTCCAATGATTACAAAAATAAATTAGTCAGTATAACATCCGATGGTGCAAGTGTAAACTTTGTAAAATATTACGGTATCATAGCGCAAATAAAGGCAGATAAAGAATGGCTACTTCCAGTTCATTGTGTCAACCACAGAGTCGAACTAGCAGTTAAAGAGGTTTTTTTAGAGATCTCTAAATTAAAAAAAGTTGATGATTTTTACAATACAATTTTTATCTGCTACAAAACTCGGAAAAAATAAAGCCAGAAGTGATAAATGCATCTGTAGCTTTAGGTAAAGTTTACTGCAAAGTTTGCGGTAAAACGTTGCGGCTTAAAACCGTAATTTATATTTTAGTTTATCATTTTATTTTTCAAGAACTTGGCTCATAGTGAAGACACATTACAAGATTACCTTTTCTATATTATCTGGGATTTTTATTTCTAAGAAAAATGTAAACTATTTAATTTTTAAATATTAAACTAGATTAGATATTTTAGGTATTACGCATTACACTCTACCAAAACTAACAGGAACGAGGTTTGTTGGCCATCATATAAGAGCTTTTAAGAATTTATTGGAGTCTTGGCCTGCTTTTATAGTGGCCTACGAGAACTATGTAAATGAACGAAAAAACCCTCTAACTACAAGAACAAAGGTTCAAGGGTTACTAAAGAAATTCAAATCATATAATTACCTTTGCACTGTTGCCGTTTATCATGATTTGCTAGATCTCATTGTGCCAGCATAGAAGTGTTTGAAGCAAACGAACTGTTGCCACATGACATCCTAGCTACAATCAACCAAACAAATTTAGAACTGGAATTGAAGCTCAAAGAAATCAATACAGATTTAGAATTTTTAGATAGCTATGCATCACGTTATATGGTTATTGAGGGAAAACGTAACTTACCTGAAGCACTGTCTGGTCAGTTTAATAAAGCTGGCGACAAATGAAAACATCCCAGTAATAGAAAGTATATAATAGTAAACTTAGATATGACTAAGGTTGACGTAGATCAAGCATTATGCTTAGTCAGAAATATTAAGAGAAAGGTTATAACCAGACTTATAAATATGTTAAACAGCAGATTTACAACCATAAAGGATGAGTCTGAGATTTATCATGCCATGTGGCTCATCGACTCGCAGAACTGGACTGACAACAAAGAGTTTGGCTTGGAAGAAATAAAGTTTTTGTCCACACATTTTAAAACACCATTGGAACATTCCAATTTTAATGAAAAATTAGTTTTCCAAGAATGGATATTATTTTTGATTTATTCAAGAACCAATCTTGAAGCAATGGTAGGCAATCGCCAGACAAAAGAAATTTGGAGGCTGACATTCTTGTACAAAAAGTCAAAGTTTCCTAATATATTAAAAGTTACATTGATTATCTTGACAATTTCCGAATCAAACTCAAGCGTGGAGCAAATGTTTAGCACAGTAACTAGAATATTATCAGATCAACGTTTATCTATGAATCCCGACACTCTAAATGATAGCATTATGATATTAGGAAACCATGGAAGCTGGTCAAAATAAGAAATAATCCTGATTAAAAAGCGAGCAAAAGAAATTTATTTGAATAAGAGATGACTGGTTTAAGTTGATGATGATCCAGTTGACTATATGACAACAGCAACAACATTGATTAAAAATCAAGTTCTTGATGACAATGATGAAATAGACAGTGATGATGAAGACATGACTGACGAATTAGCTGCATTCAGTTTCGAAAATGTAGAAGAGGAAACACCGTTGATAACAGTTGAGGGGAAAATCTGTTATTTAACTTATAACGAATAGTTTTTAAAAAAGAAGATTTTCAAATTATTCTTGTGTTATTTTTTTAAGATAAAATAAACGTAATTTAAATAAGAAATTTTAGAAAAAAGACAAATAATAATTAATTTGAATAAAAAATATCAAGAAACATAAAAAAAACATTAATCGTTTATTAAGTTTACAGCATAACATTTTTAAATACATATATTAAAACAATTTAAGAAAAAAACTAAAATTAAACTTCAATACTAGATCAATAAGAAGATGCGTTTTTGTTTGATATTTTTTTTTTTTACCATTAAAAGATAAAAAAAATCACGATCTGACGCAAACAATATGCAAGATGTTTGAAAGTATAAAAATCTACTTCATTGAAGTATTTTCATAAGCGTGATACTAATTTAAACATTTGTTGACGAAAGAATGATGTAACAAATAAAAAAAATATATAAAAAATAAAAAGCTTTTTATAAGCATCATCTTCAGCAATTTCATGATCGTGCTCGGCGACGTTATCTTGAGCGCACATAATCACGCTCGATTAAAACATATTCTGATTTTACGAGCGTGATATAACACGCTTGACGATTTTCAACATCACAAGCCCTGCATAATGCCTCTCAATTTGAAAAACATAAAAGAATATAAAAAAATATTTTTATAAAAAACTTTTAAAACTTCAAAAGATTTTTTTATCAAAACTTTTTATTCACAACAGAGCTCGAATTAAGCATATTGCAAATATGATTGCTTTTTACACCTTCGCAATTAGTTTTTTTTAAAAAAAAAAAATTTCACAATATGTTTATGCTTTTGTTGTTGTTATTTTTCTTTCTAATATAGCTTTTTTTTTTGCCTATCCTTAAAAGAATGTTTTCGTCTAAGTTTTTTATAAGTGGTTATAAAGTACATCACGGTAATTTTATCTTTTAAATATGATCATTTGCTCTCTTGCGCCTACAACAAAACGAAGAAGGCAAGCTTCGACTAAAATAAAAAAGTTATTTTTCTTGGTACGCATTTATTCTTTTGTTTTAATAAAATAAATTAAGCCCAAACAGGTTTTTTTTTACCGGTTTGGGATCCCTTCAATGAATAAAGTACATCGCAGTAAATTTATTTATAAACTAAATCAAAACTAGTTCAGTTACTACAATTAAGCTACTTAACTATTAAAAATACCGTGTTTTTTTTAATATTTTATTTTATTCAAAGCGATATCAAGATTAAACATTTTCTATAAATACGAAAGTTATTTTTAGGAATTTTTATAAAAAAAAATATGTTTGAGCAACAGAATTTTAGCTTTCTAAATTTCACTTATTTGAATATTTTTGCAATTGAAATTTGAAAATAAATTTAAAAAACTTAAAAGAACTTTAATGCTCAATAATGATAAGATTTAATTGCAACATCCGTAATACCCAGTGGCACAGCAAGGATCATTCCTAAAAATCAAACATAGATCTAGCTATAGTAACAATATCAAATTTAGAACATAGTGCAAGGGAGGAAGAAAGTTTTATTTAAATGGTAAAGTTGAATATTTTTTGTAAAGGTGTCATTATTTTTAGTTCCTTGAAAATAGTTTTAAAAGTAGAAACATTCTATTGCAAACATTATACCAGTGATTATTGCAAACATTAAACAAAAAAATAAATTACAAAAAATTCAAATAAAAATAAATAAATTATTTTACTTTTGTTCAAAAAAAAAGTTTTCCAAAAAGAAAAATTTAAGCAAACTTTAGGAAATATAATTTGATTTTTTAAACCAAATTATTTTTTTTCTTACTTTTTATTGCAAAACAATTTGAACAAAAAAATTAAATGAAACATTTATACTTAAATTTTTAATAGTAGAAGCAATAAATAAAGAAGCAATATTTGCGTTTTTACTTTTTTAAGTTACTAATTAAATTTAAATAATTGCAACTTAAATTTATAACTTATTATGTAAATTATAACAGTAACTTATGCTATTTTAAACTCGGCCAAACGAGAATATTATCGCTTATAATTAATGCTTAATTAAACCCTGCTGCTGTTACTCATTTGTGCGCGTTTGACACAGTTTTTTAAAGAAGATTTAGCATGCTTGGCATTTTAATGTTTCTCTTTACATTTTTGACCACGCGATAAGGTATTCTTAAATCTCTATAATCTGTTAATATCTGCTTAATTGGTATTAAGATCTAGAACTTTTATAATAGATAATTTGATGACTTCTGCAGTAATAGATAATTTGATGACTTCTGCAGTAATAGATAATTTGATGACTTCTGCAGTAATAGATAATTTGATGACTTCTGCAGTAATAGATAATTTGATGACTTCTGCAGTAATAGATAATTTGATGACTTCTGCAGTAATAGATAAACTTTATGCTATATTTAAATAAGTATAGTAACTTTTTAAGTCAGGTAATCTATTTAGTTCATCATCTTAATAATAACACAATTCAAGTCTAATTGAATTTAATGCATATTAATTGTATTTAATGCATATTAATATGTAATTTTTATTTTTAAAACTAGAAGACAATGCTTTTTTCAAAGGTCAAACTTTTGATCAAGGTCAAACTCTTGATAAAGCTGACATATATCTCCAAAACCCTTGCATCTCACACGGTCAACTTTATGTTGCATGTTCAAAAACAGATCGTTTAAAACCTTTTTTTGAAAGAAATTACAGAAAATTTTTGCTTTTATTATATTAAAAACCAGGTCATTTTGATCGTTTGTTTTTATAAGTTGATAAACATTCATTACAAGGTATGACATGGAACAAATATTACAAAAATAAGGTTGTATTTGTAAATGTTTCAAAATTTTTTTTTTATTCTTAATTTATATAATTATTTATATTTATATGTGTTTTTTATTATGTGTTTATATGTGTTAAGGTTGTATGGGTTTATATTTTGTAAGAGCGTTAATATCTTTTATACATGAAGTGTTTCTAAGTAACATAGTATGTTTGTGATGTGTTAAAATTTTATGTATTTATAGTTTGTAAGTGGTTATTGTTAAAATTATTGCTAAAAGTTAAATAGCTAATATCAAATGGATTATTGAAAATAAAAACACTAAAAAGATTAATCATAAATATATTTCAAACATGAATGTTAATATTGTGTGTAAAATATTAAGTTTATAAGTTTTGAGCAGCACTATATATTATTTTAAAGTTTTTTACATACAGGAATGTGGCAAGGTACACAAGCACAACCTTGTATCTCACAGCATGTAATGCATTTGATCAACCACTTTAATTTAACTTATGTTTGTAAAAATGTTTCCATTACAATTTATTAATAATAACTTATGTCAAACTTATTCTCTATAAAACTCTATAAAAATGTTTGCAGACTACATTGATAACACTGTACAACAATTTTTAACTTTTTAAAAAAAAACAAGAACCAAAATTAGGTTATCTTTATTAATTCAGACGTGCTGATTCCAAATATGTAATCAGTTATGCTGTAGCACGCCACAATTTTTTGAAATAACGATTTAAAGATGTAACGTAAGATGCATTTTTCTATACATATGAATAAGTGTATAAACATGTTTATTATCACTTGTAACACAAATTGTTTACTTGTATTTAATTGTATTTAGTCTAGCGTTTGAATGCTGCATCGGGTTCATCGCGGTGCAAATTCCAGCAGTAACCTGCAAGCATGGCGGGGCTCCACTTTCCCTTGTATCTGCTTTCCATTGTGGCAATACTCTGATGAAAACGCTCGCCATTTTCATCATATACATCTCCATTGACAGAGAACATGTTACAACCCAGTTGTTGATAGGATGCAATTAATCTGTCTACCAAATCAGCGTAATTTGGTGCAATATGTTTTCCAAGAAATCCCTGGCACACCGTTTGAATACATCCCATGCTGCAAGTTCATATTGATTCATCGTTACCGAAAACGTTTCATCCAGCATCAGTTCTCGTATTTGGGGCCCCACCAAAATGCCCTCTTTAATTTTGGCGTCACTGATTTTAGGAAATTTGGTCTGCAAATACTGAAATGCTGGTTTGTCGTGATCTAACGCCTTTACAAACTGTTTGAAGATTCCAAGCTTGATGTGAAGATTGGGCAAGACGATCTTCTCTTTATCCACAAGAGGTTCATGAATGACGTTATGGGAACCAACCTTAAATGTTTCTCGTTGTGGCCAACATTTCCTCATATAATGTTCTGATCTCATCCTGCTATCCCATTTGCAGAGGAAACACATGTACTTAGTAAAACCAGCCTGCAATCCATTTAGTATAGCAACAACTTTTAAATCTGCACATATGGACCATCTGTGATCTCTGTATTTAATTCTGTCCAGAATAAGTGATATATTCACATAGCTTTCCTTCAGGGTTACCGAATGTGCTATGGGAATGGAAGGCAGCACATTTTCAGTATGCAGTAATACTGCCTTAATACTATAACGTGATGCGTCAATAAACAAATTCCACATAGATGAATCGTATTGTATTCCTAGATCATCAAACAATCCACTGATGTCATTACAGAAGCAAAGTTCTTTATCCATAGAGAAGTATTGCTGCAGTTCCCGTGATCGCTTTCTAAATGACAACACTCTTGCATCACCAGCCAACAGATGCCACTCCTGGAGACGTGAAGCCAGCAATTCACTCTGTTGCTTTGTTAAATACAAATCTCGAACAAGATCTTTCAGGTCAGATCCTGTTATGAAGTAGGGTTTACGCTCTGTATCTTCTGGCAACTCGTAACTATCATCGTCATCAGTATCCTCGTCTGAATCAGAACTTTCCGGGATTTTGTTTGGGATTTCCGATGGAGGTTCAGGAACAGTGAGTTCAGCCGAATGAGGAACAGGACGAATAGCTGAAGGTAGATTTGGGTACACTATAGCTTTCTTACCCTTAGAATTGCGACCTGATATGTTAACAGAACAGAAATAGCAATCTGAACAATGATTTTGGGGTTCACGCCACACCATTGGCACCCTAAATGTTGGTCCTCCACCAGTCCTGTTCGCCCACGGCGATAGTGAACTAGCGCACCTCACACAGCATGCATGAGGCGCCCAGTTCTTATCCTGGTCGCCGACTTTGCAACCAAAGTATAGTTCATACAGTTTTTTCACATGTGGTGTCAATCTTCGTCTGCATCTCTTTAAAGTCATTTCGCCACAAATGTAGCAAAAGTTGTCGGCTTGATTTTTACAAGTTCTGGGCATTTCTTGTTTCAATATACACTGTATTATATCTATATATTACTTGGCTAACTGTAGTTTATCTAAAATAAAACAGACTTACATTTAGTCTAATACAAGGTTAAACAAATACAACTGTATTATATCATACACTGTATTATATCTATATATAATTTGGCTAACTGTAGTTTATCTAAAATAAAACAGACTTACATTTAGTCTAATACAAGGTTAAACAAATGCAAATAGGTATATGATAAAAAAATGCTAATAAATAAATCATAAACAACTGCTATTAAATATAATAAAAATCACATTGACAACTTTCATAGTGAAAATCTGAAAAATTTGAAAATGTGAATTTCCGTCAAAATTGGTGGGTCACACAACAAAACGGACATTATTTTCGTAATCTCCAAATCAAAATACATAAGGTAGTGTCAATGGCATTTCTGTTTTTTTTTCGTTGTTGTACAGTGTAATTAAATGCAAAAAAAAAAAAAAAATGTGCATACCTTTTTTTTTATTTGCAGCCATAAGAGCACCTTTTCGATATACTGATGCCTATATTAAAATGAAAACAACTATAAGAAGATTTAAAATTTCATAGTTCTATAAAAATGCATACTATCTGAAGACCTTGCAAATAACTTCATTTAAAAAACAAAAAAGTTTAAAATAAAAATAACACGTAGATCACATTAAACTTTTGATAAAATATATGATAATAAGTATTAATAGCAATAGATTATTTGATATGCTCAGTAATGATGATACAATAGATTAAAAGTATAATAGCAATAGATTGTATGTGTGATATGCTTGGTAATGATGATACAGTAGATTATGAGTATAATAGATTAGCATAGACTGTATGAATGTAGATACATATATACATGATAGATTTCTGTATATATGATAAATTTCAACATGATAGATAATTAAACACTCATAAAATGTATTGCTATTTTATTGTACAAAAAACAATTTCTTCTTCAGCAAGTATGTGTTAAGTTCTAACGCCAATTCTTGTTTGCTTATGAAATAAATTTTCTATTATGAATAATTTTTTGGCTTAATCTCCTTTTTTTATTAAATAAGTCATGTTTAATCAACTTTTTTAATTAAAAAAAGCATTAGACATATCTTCTATCAGTATTAATGATATGATTCATCAACCAATACACCATTATTTAATATTCTGTATATAATATTTTTATAGCAAAATTTAGAGGAGGTGAATGGAAATAATTGTATGTGCAAATTGACACAACAAATTGACGAACGTGCGAACTTTGTAAAAAAAAGACAGAAACGAACATTTACGTTTCTTTACTTCGCTTAAAAATTTTAAAAACAAACGCATTACTTCTTTTCCAAATAATTATGCGATTGATAGTTTTTTATTTATTATAAAAAACACATATTTATAATAATAAAACAATTAGTTACTAAAATTTAAAATGCATTTTCAACAGCTTTAAAAGAAACCAAGCTAAAACATGAATATTTTCTTCGATAGCGTTTCTTTTAAATTTAGTAACTAAATATGCAACTGAAGAAAGTAACATGTTTGAGCATGGTTTTTATACACGTTTACAAAAGCATTAAAAGTTTTAGTCAGAATGAACCCTAACCCTGACTTTAAAAGAAACCATGCTAAAACATTGATTTTTTCAAAAGTGTGCTTTTTTTAATTTTTATTATCGTTAAAATAACATTTGTTTGCATACTAAAAACACTTATAAAAGTTTTAAAAAGATTTTTATGTTTTGCTGAAATATATATAATTTAATAGAATATAATATATTTCATATTTTAGTTATATATTTAGTTCTATAAATCTATCTTTGAGCCAGGATAGCTCAGTTGGTTAAAGCACTGTTATAAGTTCAGAATAAATATTGGCCGTAGCAGCAGGATTGGAGGTTCAAATCCCAGCTCCGCCTACTCAGCGTATGAGTTGTACTTTAGTACGAAGGGAACTCATCTCAATTAGCTCTGCTATTACGATGTTTCCTTCTTGACTAGTAAATAAATAATCTAGTCGAGTAAATAAAAACTATATATTACAGGGCCGACGACAAAGGTTTTGAAGTGGAGGGGCACAATTGTCAAGTTTTTTATAAAAATCCTTTCTTTCTAGAACTTTCTTAAAAAAAAAAGAGTCTTTCAAAAAATAAGAGGGAGCACTTGCCCCTGGCCCCCCTGGTGTCATTGAGTTATTATGTTTATTATAGTTTCCATTTTTTATTGTGCATTTAACAACACTAATAATATGATATTTTTATTATTAAATACTTAATATTATAAATATAATAATATCTTATTAAGTATTTAATAATAACTTAATAAATACTTAATATTATATTATTATTTTTAAAGGTTTAAAAAAAAATGTCAAAACAACTTTATTTTATTTTTAGTTCCTTTTATTTAAATTTCTTCAAGTTTATACATTTTTTTATAAGTAAATAAATATAACGAACTTATTTGAGAAAAATTCACTATTCATTTTGCATTAATGTATAACAGTTTACAGTCATAAGGTTATTGCATATTAGTTATTATTAACTTGCTACACTTTGCAAATGCCTGAAAAATTGTTTTGAATTTAATAAAAAGTTAAAAAAAAGCATCTTTGATATATCAAATAACTTATTAACTAGAGTAAATAAAACTCATACACACACATACACACACAAACACATATATATACATATACACATATATGTATATATATACACACACACACACACACACACACACACACACACACACACACACACACACACACACACACACACACACACACACACACACACACATATATATATATATATATATATATATATATATATATATATATATATATATATATATATATATATATATATATATATATATATATATATATATACAACTATAAATGCGTGTTTAAATAAGGGGTTGTCCACAAAATACATCACGTTATTGGAGGGGGAAGGGGGCAGGGATTAGTGATTTTGTAACAATTTGTTACAGGGAGAGTGGGTGGGGTAGGGTTATTCATTATTGTGATGCAATATTTTCAAAGTTTTAAATCTAGAAAATCTTTTCTATTGATTAAACGAGTTAGAAACCTAAAACATAAACTCTTAGTTGATTTGACTATGGTTACTCTAATTTTACTTAAATTAGAATTGCCTTAAAATTGTCTTTATTTTTATTGGAATTGACTTTTTATATTGACTTTAGTATAATGCGCGCCTATGGCTTTATCAGTCAATAATATAGCCGATATATAATAGATAAAAAAGTAATTAATATTAATATAATTATGAAAGTAGTAATATAATAATTAAACATCAATAATAGCTTATACTCATTAGCATTAAGAATTATAATATTAATATAACCTAGTAAATTAAATATATCTTTGGAAGTTAATTGTCCATTTAGTCACTGTTAATTTATACAACTTTATATTGATCTATAGGAGTGCAAAAAAATATATATGCACACTACACTTCCTTATACCTATTTAGATCAGTCAATGTATGTAACTACACAGCAAATACGGCCATATCATTCTGTGAAATACAACCATATTACTGTGAAACTTTAAAAAAATTTTGCCCAATATTGTGTGATGTAATTTTTGGACCTAATATCTCTGATGTCAAACCAAAATCATGCTTTGGACTTTAGTACATACATACACTATCTTATAGCCTGCTGCTGCAAAGGAGTGCCATTATATTGAATAAGGGTTTGGCACAGACAGCAATCTTTTTTTTTATTATTGTTTGTTTTTTTCCTTCTTTTTCTGAAAAAGCCATAAGATATAAAGATAAGCAAAACTAAATAATGCTTATACAAATATGCTATTATAATATATATATATATATATATATATATATATATATATATATATATATATATATATATATATATATATATATATATATATATATATATATATATATATATATATATATATATTATATTATATTATATTATTATACAAATATGCTATTATAATAATAATATATATATATATATATATATATATATATATATATATATATATATATATATATTATATTATATTATATTATTATACAAATATGCTATTATAATATATATGCTATTATAATAATAATAATAATATATATATATATATATATATATATATATATATATATATATATATATATATATATATATATATATATTTATATATATATATATATATATATATATATATATATATATATATATATATATATATATATATATATATATATATATATATATATATATATATATATATATATATATATATATATATACACATTTATATGTATATATCGTTATTCAAGAATGATTCAAACTAATAAATTATTAAAACCAAAATTTTGATGGAAGCTAAAAACTTAATCTGAAATTATTCATCTAATATATATCTTAAAATATAAAATATAATTTATGCCATGTTAAACAACTTTAATTAATTTTTTAACAACTAAAAAATAAAACAAAAGGTTAACTAACCATTACTTCGTTTTAACTAAATATTAAAAATATATATTTGGCGCGCCAAAACGATTTTAGTTAAAGTATCGGTATCTTAGATACCTTAATTCAAAAGAGTCAACAGTGGTACTCAGTGGCGGATTAAGATTTCTTGGGGCCCGGGGCTATTTTTGTTTTTGGAGGCCTTTTTATGGGCCAGAGCCTAAAAATGACTTTGAAAATAAAAAAGTCCCCTAAAATTTTTGAGGGCCCCTAAATTTGCGGGGCCCGGGGCTATAGCACTCCTTTGATCCGGCACTGGTGGTAGTGTCGTACCTTAGTAAGTAAGTGTCACAGTCTTAAACCATAGTCGATAGAATATAAGTAGTTATATTTTATTGACTATGCTTAAACCATTAGGGGTTGTTCAAAAAATACGTGATGTGACATTTTGAAGAACCCCCTTCCCTCCCTGTGTGACGTGACAAAGACAAAAAAATTTTTTATAAGTTTAGATTTTAATTGTAATAGCTTATTATTTTTTTTTTTTTAATGAATATCTAAAACCTAAATTTGTTTTCAAATCGAACTCTGACCTTCAAGGGTTAAAGCTCCATGTTCTTCAATAATTTTTGAAGGCCAGTTGAGGTCAGAGGTATCAACATCGTCCTGGACATACCACTCAACTGTTTTTTTGTCCGAATTTAAAAAGACTTACATGAGTTCAAATAGACGTTGAGCAAATATGAGCAGCCGTAGCGCAGTGGTAGCGTACTTTCTTCAGAAAAAAAGGATCCATGGTTCAAACCCCACCTCTGGGCAAGTTTTGCGATATCGGTTAGGAAGGAGGCGTGAACTTCCCACTAAATGCTCATCCGCGATGCTTTGTGATAAGACCGTAAAAAATTCTTGAAGCACCTAAATAAAAGTAAATAATAAAAAAAAACTAGGCAATGAGGTCTAATTTTTTGAATCTCATTCAAATATCCAAAACTCGGACAAACTTTTTGTGTTGTTTTATTAATTTGATAGTGTCAAAATATAAACTGCAATTGGTACAAATTCTTTTGATAAGGAATTTTGAATGGTTGGACATGAGTAACAGTCGTGGGAAAAATTTTTTCGCAAAGTGATAAGTTTAAAAAGAGGAATGCAAAGTTGTTCTTTATAATATTGCATTCCAGACCATCTTCTCCTTGGAACAAAGAAGTTGGTGGTGGAAGAAAACCAGTTGAAATAAGATAAAACAGCGAGCTGCGACAATGACCACAGCAGTTTTGATCATTAGATTTTACAATTTGAAGGAAGTATTGACTTTTTCTTACATGTTTGGCATCCCGCTCTGCTCCAAAATGTTTTAACTGTACACATTTTTCACTGTTTGGTTTTATGTACTCGGCTTTAGTTTCAAATCCATCAATGACTGTGCAAGACCAAATTTGTGCAAGAACTTCACCAGCTTTGGCAAAATTTGCCTTCTCCATAACTTTGTCTGTTGTTTTTTCTCTTGAATTAAAATGGCTTTTAAAAAGATCAAATGGAAGTATAATTCCTGCTAGTTCTTGGCTTAGCGGAGCCTCTACCCTGTTAAAGGCACTTCTGCCAGGAAAATTAGTGCCACAAACATTCCATCAAGGTCATGCTCTTTGAAATAAGTCTTGGCACTATGAATTATTTTCTTATATCTTCGATTTTCATCTGGACCACCATTAACAGTTACAATCATGACTGGTTTGCTAAGCCCATCTTCATTAAATAAGCTGCTTTTAAATGCAGGAAGTTTCTGTTTATCTCTTCTAAGCAACTAAATGCTGTTGATGAATTATGTTTTGCACTTCTGATTGCTATGTATGTTGGGCCAGAGTATAGACTGCTTGTTTTTCCATGCAATATTTTTTAATTTGTATGACTGCAATTTCTGAAGGAATAAGTTTGTGTTGAGAAGCAGTTGCAAAATCATGATCAGCTAAAGTTACCTTGTATTCCATTTGCATTATCATTGGTCCTTGTTTGTTTGCAGCTGTCAATCCAATTGGCACCCTGGCTTTATAATCCTGGGAGTGAAATGCACTTCTTTAGAACCCAAAACAGCCACAAGTTCTCCAAGGTCAATAATGGATGACTTGGCAAATTTTGTATTTGCATGATATTTATGCTCAGAATTTTGTGCTCTAATTAAGGTGAACGCGTAAAAAAACTAAAATTTTTGTTTTCATTTGTTATGACTCCGTTAAACAATAAGCGCTAGTCGTTGCATATCATATTTCTTGAAAGTTTCCGTATTATATATAAATATCTCCGAGTTTGCAGTTTTAACAAATTACGCAGTGATAAAAAATTCAATTGAAAATGTCACATTACTCTATAGCACTCCCCCTCCCCCATGTAATTGTAATAAAAAAAATAACAGAAATAATAGCTATTGTTGATGTTTTAACTTTTTTAGAAACAACAAAAATACCTGTGATTTACAATATTTGTAATTCTGTAATACAATAACAATAAATATTGTATTGCAAGTCATCATCATAATACAATAACAATATCTGGAAAAAAAAGTATTTTAATGACCCACTACAATAACAATAAATCTTTTATTATAATTTATCTTTATAATTCAGTATCATTGTATTATTATTGTAATGAAAAAATTATTGTATTGTCGAAAATCATGTGACCAGATATAGAATCAATAATCGTATATTATTTGTACCCTATTTCAATAGAGTACAACTAATATATGATTATTGATTCTATTTCTATTTTATTTTTTGAATATTACTTATCCTAGTTGCAAATTTTATTTAGCTCTATAAAAGTGAGTTTTATTTGACCTGTTTTTCTTTTATTGCTGGGAATAGATATTTCTACATAATTAATTCCTATCATTTCTTCCACTTAGTTTTTTGCTTTTACAACAAATGTTTCGATAACACTTACTGTAGCCTGATAGGTGATGAGTAATCTGAAAATAGAAAAAGTTGTTGCAAAATAAAGGTTCACATGTTTAGACAACATAATATATAACTACCCAGGTCAATGAATCCCTGATTTCATAATGCTATAATTTATTACTCATTAGCGATTATTTATAATAATAAAAATAAACTATTTTCACGCGCTTTATGTAGTTAATCAATCAGTTTAGACGTCATCATCCAGTAAACATTTCAATATCAGTTAAGACAAAATTTTAAAAAAATCACTTCACATAATAAATAATTATCTAATTACAAACATATAATAAATTATAAACATATAAAAAAAAATATAAAATATAATATACTTTCCTGGCTTGACTTAATTTTCATAATAAACAAAAATATATATGTAAATGACTGCTAAAAACGATCTTCATGTGCCCTCTGAGTTTTCTAGTGCCCAAATAATAATAAATGCGAGTGAAAATGTACCTAAATACTTTAAAATACAATAGCTATTTGACTTTGAAATAGAAATACAATACACCACATAATACAATATTTATTGTAACTGTTTTTTATCAAAACAATACAATAGTCATTGTAATTGTTTTACATACATGCAGCAATACAATACAAAAATTTTAGGATTTCAATTTATTGTTAGAACAAAAGCAATACAATAGTTATGGTAACTGTTTTTCATCACAGCAATACAATAACAATAAATAATGTTTTAATTACATCTCTGGTATTACAATAGAATATTATTTTATTGTAATGTGTTATTATATTTAATTTTTACAATTACAATTACAACAGTCCGAACCCTAGGTGACTTTTTCCATTACCCCCTCCCCCTAAGGCTGTCACGTATTATTTAAACAACCCCTTAGTCAAGATTTTATGTTAACTATTTTTCATAATGATTGATATATGTTTATTAGGGATACATTGATAAAAAAAATGATAAATAATAATATATAATATATATTTTTTATATACCTATTTGCAACAATGATATATTAAATCATTGTTGCATATAGCTATACAAAACAACAATAAAACAATATTGTAAGGTTGTTTTGTTAATATAAAAAGTTCATTTACTAGTTTATATTTTCAAAATAACCTCACATAATTTTTTTTGTTGTTGTTTAATACAGCAATTTGCAATAACAATTTATTAGGCGTTTAAAATAAAACTTGTTTTATTGTCAGTAGGTTGTTTTATATAATACTATTAATATGAAACAATCTCGCCATATTGTTTTATTTTTGTATTATACAACTTTTAACATTAAAAATATATAAAATGAGTTTAGAAATTTAAATTGTGTTATATTTAAGTGAGTGTAGTAAAACTACTTGGCTTGTGAGAAAGAACTCGGTATTATACTTTTCTAAAATGACATTGCACGATTAGATGTCTTCAGAGAAACATTATTTGGAGTCTTCATCGTAATTAATTTTTTTTTTAGTTTCTACGTAATAGCTATTTATCAGTTGATAATTTATAATTAAAAGGTAAAAGTATTTCAATATTGTAACTTAATATTATGATTTACTAAAAAAGTAATCAAATAATACTTTAAGTTTTAAAATTATGGGTAAGATTTGAAAAAAACTTTGAAACTGGTTACTTTATATAGCACATTTAAAAAGAAAGATTTTCTAAAGCTTTGAATAAAAAAATTTTCAATATTTTCCAATCTAATTATAATTAAATTTCAATTACATTACGTCCCACTAAGAAGTAGTAAAGTTTCCTAGCAAGAACCACAACAATGAATCAATCACATTTTTTGTAATGTTATTTATTCCGTCATCCAGTTAATTGCGATACCGACGTCTTTTAAGAACTTACCACCTTAAAAAAATCTCCAAAAATAAAAACATATAAAAAAAAAATCCGAAGAAAAAAATAAATTCTATTTTTAATGGAAATAATTTGATACTTACGAAACAGAAAATAGTAACGTATTTTGTTAATCAAATTTAAATTTTCTAACTAAAATACTTCTTATTTTGTTTAATTTTAATCTCTTTGACTTTTTTAGTTTCAAAAGTAACCTTTGATTATCAAATATTAATAACATTACGTCAAATTTATATAAAAATACATTTCCAAGTATATATTCTCGTTTATAAAGTATTCTACTTTTTTTCTAATATATATATTTATATCTTTTTTTCAAAAATATTTTCGTGTTCATACAATTTT